ACTTCCGGAACTAACATTGTTTAGGGGGACAATGAAGCAGGATAGATGGATGAGGCCACAAGGAAATTCGTATTCTTTAAACAAATGTCAAAGGGGCAAGACTCAGAATAAAACCAGGAAGTAAGCTCAAAAAGCAGGCAAGCTCTCCTCCTTCCAAATCACTTTTTAATGTTAAGTTACAAGAATAGAAGATATGGGAGACTCTGTCTAAATCTGCCTTCTTAAAAACAGGAGAGAACCTCTAATCTGTCTTGTCCTTGGAAGTGGGTGGGAAATGGCAGGAAGGATGGAGGGCATGTCCTGCCCAGGAAGTCCTGAAGGTTAGGCTGTGTTCTGGTGGTCTTTACCCAGCTCACCCACAGAGCATGGCTGCCTTGCATTTACCCAGCTCAAAGGGTAAAAGCCAGAGGTAGAAGCAGCCATTTTGAGTCTTTACTTCCTATTTCCTGCAGAGGGAGTAGGAAGTATTCCCCTCCTTTTCCATTTCTCCCTACTTTAACCAAGTGATGCTAAGGTACATCCTTGTTAAAATTTTTACTTTATGAGACTTTCTTTTTTTGAGATTCCCTGAAATGCTTTTTACCGCGTGGAAACTGGGAAGTTGAGGAACCCTCGTCAATTTTATGTGGATGCCAGGGAGATGCAGGGCCCTCGGACTCGCCTTTTGTAGCTCATCCTCACCTTTAAAAGAATTATCCTCACTTTTTGGTATCTGTACGAGCCCTGGAACCGGTTCAACACAGATTCTGGAAGACAGTTGTACTGACACAAATGGACTGTAAAATCATCACACTTGGTAAAATAAGCCAGTCCCCAAAATCTTCATAGGATGTGATTCCTTTCCATATGTAATGGACAAATCCAGGAGACAGAAAGTAGCTGGTGATTTGAGTCTGGAACGGTGATGGGGCGGAAGGAGAATAGTGGGCTGTTAATGAGTGCAGAATTTCTTTCCGGGACTAGTAAATGTTCTAGAACTAGATTGCTCTGATGGTTGCACTAAAAAAATCTGTGACCACATGTAAGAACCATTTGTACAATAAACTTTAAGTGGGTAAAGCCATATGGTGTATTACTAAAGTGGTTTTTTACAATTCAAAAAATAGATTTTAGATAATAGATTTTAGATTTTTAGATAAAAAAATGATTTTAGACTTTTAGATAAAAAGAATCTCAATGCATTTAAGAGAATCAGGAACTCCAAATTAGTAAAATGAAAGAAAATTACCTAAAAATAGAGCAGCAATAAATGAAATGGAGACTAAAATAATACCACAAAAATCAATGAAAGGACAATTTTTTTCTTTTGTGATGACAAATTCTTACCTACAGTAACCAAGGGGAAAGAGGGAAGATTTTCACAAAGCTTAGGATGGAAAGGGGAAGTGTGAGGTAGTCCTCCAGAAACAGAAAGGTCCAGGTGGGGAATTCCAAAAACAAATATACATCAGCAAATTGGAAAACCTAGACATAGTGGACACATTTCTTTATACATGTGAGCTCCCAAATTTAACACAGAAATTCAGCGTATAAATAACAAATAATACAGAATTGGTGAGAAAATCTTCAACAAAGAAAAGCCTAGGACACATGGCCTCATCATAGAATAATAACAAGTCTCTAAAGACAAATGAATGCTAACTCTTGTCAAATTATTGCAACATACTGAAGGCCATGAACCTTCTGAAATTCTTCTATGTGGCCACAAGTACACTGATAGCAAATTGGTAAGGTAAAAACAACCACCACCACAAAAACCCCTATAGACCAATAGTTATGGGGAGTACAGATGCAAAAATGTCCAGAAAATAACACCTGAGCAAATCGGAAAGCACATAAACTGTTCATCATGAACAAGTCAGGTTTATCCCAGGAATTCAAAGGCGGCTTTAATACGTTGTATGTCAGTCCAGACAGTCTGTCTGCCAGCATGGCGGGACATTCTACCAACACCAGGTTTCCTAGAAGAGGAGGTAAAAGAATCTGGAGTTGAGAGCCAGCCTGAGCAAAGTTCTCTCTCTACCCTACTCAAAAACAAAACAACAAATACACAGACAAGGCTCAAGTGGCGAGGCACTTGCTCAGAATATGGTAGGTCCTGGGTTCAAATCCTGGCACTGCCCCTGCCAAAACTAAATCAGCTGAATGAAGAATAGGATCATATGATCATCTCAGTAGGTACAGGAAGAATACTTGATACAATGAAACTTTTTTCTTGATCACAAACCTAAACAAATGTGGTACAGAAGTACTGAGCTTCCGCACGAAGGGGGCTGTGTCTGAGAAGCCCGTCCACAACCTGATCCTAAGTAGAAAGAAGCTGAGTGTGTTTTCTCTCATTCTGGACTGAGCTGAGGCTGTCCCCTTTATCTACCTTATCAAATACAGTACTGAAAGTCAGCCACAGCAGTGAGGCACGAAAAAAAAGACAAACAGGAAGAGGGAGCGTTCACCCTGCTAAGACCCAGTGAGGCCCCAGGACTCACGGGGTCAGTCAAAATTCAAAACTGATACTTGGTACAAAATCGATGCTTGGAACTCGGTAGAAGTTTTCTGCAACAGTCATGAATTTGCCAACAAAGCATTCACCATAGCTACAAAAATAAAACAAAACACACAAAAACCTTTCACAATGAAGCAAACGAGGCGAGTGAGAGACAACTTTCACGAAAATGGCACAGGAACGAGGTCTGAAGCCATGTGGCTGGTTTGCGCTCCTCTGTTCAGAATGAGCGGCGGCAAGTTCCTGATCCCAGAGCGCCATGCTCCTCCCTGTTCAGAATGAGCGGCGGCAAGCTCCTGATCCCAGAGCGCCACGCTCCTCCCTGTTCAGAATGAGCGGCAGCAAGCTCCTGAGCCCAGAGCGCCGCTCTGCCGCCTTCTCTCATGAGTTAGCTTACATTTTGTTCCACATCAGAGTATTTCTAATCATGGCAATTCCTTCTGTAGCCATGGATCTGAAGTGCGTGTGGTTTAATGTCTTGCATTTGTGATTGTCTCATTTCCCTTGCACTTTGGACTGGTAGCGTTGTTTTCCTTTGTGCTTGGGGGAGGAGGCTTGGGCGTTCCACTGCAGGAATCCTGGAGAGCTGCACACACAGGCAGAGCGGGCATCCGGTCCTCGGGTGGTGTAGTGTGTGGTGTTATCATGTCCTCCATTGAGCACCATCTCTGGTCTGTGTGCTCTATTCATCATGAGCCATGTGGTCGCGAAACCTCCAGCTAATAGGGTGAAACATTCCTCTGGTCATTTCTTCAGTCAGTGTTTCTGCAATATGACGATAGCGTGGTGTGTGTGTGTACAGAGGGGATACGTTTCTGATGAACTTCACCTTGTTTAAGACAAAGCTCTCTAGCAAAATGGGACTGATAGGATATAGAGAAACAGATAAATAGACGTGTACTCTTTGTTGAAAGTTCCAACGTGGAGTCTGAGGCCTCCCCCTGCCCATCCCCCCCGCCGGCCCACTGACGCGGTCAGTGGCCATCGGGGCCGAGTGCCTTTGACCTCAGGGGCTGCAGCCCGGAGCACTGACTGATTTCATGCGGCGTGCCCGAGGGACCAAGTTGTATTTAAATCTTACCCAGTTAGCCAGTGCTCCGCAGCAATACCTAGATAGGAAATGGGACTAGATAGGAAATACCTAGATGGGAAAGGTTGTGCCCCTCCCCAAACCATATTTGAAGATGGCAGCTTCCAACGTGGTCGTGTTGGGGACAGAGCTCTGAGGAGGGATGCGGCCGGTGATGCCCAGTGCCCCAGCAGGCCCCGCATCCTTACAGGACACTCTGGACGGAGACCCGCGGCCCAGAGCCCAGCCCATGTGAAGGCCTGTGCCGAATGCCTGACCTGCGCAGCCTGGCCCCTGGCAGCGCGGGACACGCAGGCCTTGGCTGTGGACCCTGGTCTGTGCGGTCTGTTGTGGCAGCTCCCTGAGCTTCTGTACTGACAGAAACAGCCTTCAAACAGGCAGAAGAGGCGGGGAACCATTTCTCGTCATCTGTGTATGTACACGTGCTTTAAACACGATGGCGTGTCTGGAAGAGCGGAACAGCAGAGCCATGCCTCCACGTACACCCAGCTGACGGTACAGGACAGGAATACAGACGCGAAACCCCGTCCACACAGCCAGCAGAGTGCCCGCGAGTGGACGAACGGACGAGGAACAAGATGCGATCACACACCACAAGTTGTGCCATCATGGAAGGACCCGGCAGCCTGTGAGTGGACGGAAGCAGGCAAGGCAGAGCAAGCACCAGAGACGCGAGTTCCACGCAGTTCTAAGCAGACTCATGCTTCCCACACGTGCGGTCCTGGGGCCCGGGGAGCTGCGGGTCTGGGGAGCTGCGGGTCTGGGGAGCTGCGGGTCTGGGGAGCTGCGGGTCAGAGGACACACAATTTTAGCTAGCCAGGAGAAGTAGTTCAGAGATAAGAAACAAGATGGTAACTAAACAAAAAGCAGTGTGATTAAAACGTGCTGAGAGAGGGCTGTGAACTCCTCATGAGAGAATCGTAGCCGTGCTGAGCACGCCGTTTAGCTTTCTTACCCCTAGACAATGGGCATGTGTGTGAAAAACAGTGCTGTATGTGATAACTGCAAACCACGCCAGCTTCCCATTTGACAACGAGGACATAACTGTGGATAGTTACAGTTAAATCGGGCTTGTCTGGCTGTTGATCTTCAGGGGGAATAAGCAATCCAGGGCTCCCTGAAGAGCTAGAGCCTCATCCGAGGCCCCCACTCCTGGCCAGGAGGCTCCTTCTTCCATCCAGTTCAGAACCTGCTCTGCCCTTGCTGCGTGCCCCCACAGACCTTGCAGACAGACACGAGGCACTGAGCCAAACCCTCCCTGCACCTCCCACCAAGGAAATCTATCAATCCCCGACAACGTTTCCAGGGCAGACCCAGGGACAGTCCTTCTACTGACGCCATCAGCCAAGCAGCACAGGGCCCACGGCAAGATAAAAAGAATGCGGGCCGACTTGGGGAGGAGGCAGCATGGCAGTGTCCGTTGGGATGAAGGCAGGCGTGCGGCTGGCCAGGCCCTGGCTGCGCCTGCTCAGCATGAGGGCACTGGGCACCAGGGCTGTGCCCACCTCCAAGCCAGTGCTGCCCTTCGAGGCCATCCCCCAGTGCCCGGGCAACAGGTGGCTGAGGCTGCTGCAGATCTGGAGGGACCAGGGCCACAAGAACAGACACCTGGATGTGCACCGCCTCTTCCAGGCCCTGGGGCCCATCTTCAGGTGAGCGCCTCTCCTGCCCTGCTGAGGATGCGGCAGTGCCTGCCCCGCGGGTGCCCCGGTCCCGGCCAGGCACAAGACCCACACCTCCGCCATGGTCTCTCTGCCCTGTGCCCGAGGAAGGGAGGAGCAGAGTAGCTGTGGGCCTGATCACTGCCATGGATTCCAAAGTCTTCCAGGTGGACAGAGAGAAGCGGAGCGCACGGAGCAGAGACAGAGCAGCGAGCACTGTGGTGGGAGTGGCCCAGCGGGACGCATGGGAGGTCCCAGGGTGCGGGCCAGGCCAGGAGGAGGCCAGAGCCCCAGCAGCCACTCTGGGTGGGTCTGCAGAGGGCTGGGAAGGACAGGATGGCGTTCAGCAGCTCTGTGCATCCGCAGGTTCGAGGTGGGGAGTTCGCGGGTCGTATCGGTGATGCTGCCAGAGGACGCTGAGAAGCTGTGTCAGGTGGAGGGTTTGCATCCACACCGGCGGCTGATGGAGCCCTGGGTGGCCCACAGAGAGCATCGCGGGCAGAAACGCGGCGTGTTCTTGCTGTGAGGAGCCCCTGGGGGTGAGGAGGGAGGAGGGCTGGGTAGACTACTGTGTGGGTGGAAGCAGGGTGCCCGCCCAGCACGGGGGAGGCTGTCCTGTGGTGGTCCTGGGCGTTGGAGCAAAGGCCTTGATAGAGAAGTCGTGGCTCCCGGTCAGGCGAGAGGAGGAACTGAGAGCTTGTTCATGAAGCAAGCCTGCCTCACACCTACTGTGGGGGACGTCTCTTCTCAGTGAGGAGCTGCTTTCCTTCTGGTTGTGAAACTGACTCAGGGAATGGGGACCAGCGGCCCAGGACTGCAACCAGGGAGCATGGGTCCCCAGGTCTGGGCTGCTAGGAATGAAGCAGCCTTCACTGTGACTGCTGATCCTGGGAGCGAAGGGTGGGGGAAGCAGGAGGGGCTGATTCTCCTTGTGGCTGCTTCCAGACCGGGCCGTTGACAGTGAAGCCAGCACGTGGGAGTCATGGTGGAGGAGCCCTACGGAGCGGTGCCGGGTGGGAGCCGCACGGGCAGCACGCTGGGGAAGCTGCCCCACGCTACATCAAATAGCGAATTTTGTCTAGGGAAACAGTCCTGGTATCTGGGCCTTCATGGACAGGGTCTCACAAGGGTCAGGAGCCAAGCAGCCTGGGGCAGCGTGGCCCTGGGTGTCCGAGGACATGGGGGGGGTGGCATGTGTCCATGTGTGTTGAGGCCTTACGTGTGTATGTATGTGTGTGGCTAGCATTTCTATAGGAATGCTATGAGGTCACACATGAGACTGTGCACACACGTGTAGGTAGGATTGAATGTCATCTCTAAGTGTGTCACTGCGTGTGCAGTTGCCTGTGTGTGCCTGAATGGTCTCGGTACTTACGCATGCATGTAAAGCATATGAGTTTGAACACATGTGTTTTAAGTCCTGTGTGGACACTGGTGTGTGTGTGTGTGTGTGTGTGTGTGTGTGATCTGCAGTAGCACACTAGCCACAGAATCAGGTAGATGTTCTCGCTGGATTGGGTTTAGAGTCACGTCCTGCCTGTGATTCTCTGGCACGACTCCACGGGGCTTCCCCGTGCTCTGGGCTTGGTTGGTGGATGCTGTGGCCAGGCAGGCTTGCTTTCTGGTCTGCAGAAGATGGGAACACTTCTTGGGAGACAGGCAGTGCTTCTTCCCTGCAAGCCCCGGCGTGGGCCACCTGTGAACCAGGGTAGGCATGGTGTGTGTGGGACAGGGCCTGTGGGCTCACAGGAATGGAGTCAGCACACGCCCGCAGACCTGTGTCCTGCGCCCGGCCTGTACCTCAGTGACCCAAGGTCCTCGCTAGGAGGAAGGGTGAGGCTGGGGATCCACTGTACTGTGGGCACCCGGCCCTGCTCGCTCTGTGGGCGCCAGGACAGGGCCGGTGGCTTGAGCTCTGCTTGCCCTTCAGAAATGGGCCCGAGTGGCACTTCACCCGAATGCAGATGAACCCAAGTGTGCTGTCACCCAAGGCCGTCCAGAGGCTGAGTCCCATGGTGAACACCGTAGCCAGGGACTTCTCTGTGTCCCTGAGGAAGAAGGTGCAGCAGAATGCCCGGGACAGCCTCTCCCTGGACATCCAGCCCAGGGTCTTCTACTTCTCCCTGGAAGGTCTGAGGTGTGGGGAGGGCGTTGCACTGGCGTGGGGCAGCGGTGGGGAAGAGGCCCTTGGCTGGAGCTGCCTCGGCCTCAGCCGTTCCTCCGTCTCCACAGCCAGCCACTTTATGCTGTTTGGGCAGCGGCTGGGCCTCTTAGGTGACAGCCCGAGCCCTGTCAGCCTGAAGATGTTTCTAGTCATAGAGGAACTCATGCGCTCCACCGGGAAGCTCATGTTCCTGCCCAGGAGCCTGTCTCGCTGGACCAGCGCCCAGGTGTGGAAGGAGCACTTTGAGGCCTGGGACTTCGTCTCCCAGTTTGGTGAGCTCCAGGAACCCTGCAGGGCCACAGGGCAGAGGTGCGATGGTCCCTCAACCTCCCCCTGCCCTCTGACGTGCTGGGACCTCAAAGGTACTGGGAGAGGAGCAGGGGGAGGTGGAGGGGATGTGAATAGCCGGGTGATGGAAGGACAGAAGAGGAGCCTCCCCAAACCAAGGCCTGAGGGCTGAGCCTTCACCTGCAGTCAACAGGTCTACCCGGGAGGCCTTCCAGGAGTTCACCCGAGGAAACCAGGCGTGCCCCGACAGCATCCTGTCACAGATGCTGCAGCAGGGGGACCTGCCGCTCGATGTCATCCAGGCCAATGCTCTGGAACTCACCGTGGGCAGCGTGGACACGGTCAGAACATGGTGTGCCCAACCGTCAAGCCAGAACCCCCCTCACCTCTGATGGTGTCCATCTAAACAGTCACCCCGGGTCCCCATCCGAGGGCTGCCTCACTCCCGGGGCTCCTCCCCAGCCCTCAACTGTGAGCCACAAAAGACTTGAGAAGAGGGAAAAGGGAGGTGCCCTGTGTGAACCAGAGCAGGCAAGGCAGATGTCCAAGCCCTGGTGGAGACAAACATGAGGCCAGGGCCAGGATACAGCACTGGGGAAGAGAACCTCCAGCTGCAGCTCTTGGAAGCTTCCTGCAGGAGGAGACGTTAGCCAACTGGGCAGGGGCTGAGAGATGAGAGCCATGAGAGGGAAAAGAGGTGACGGAGCCCAAGGACATCCAATGAGCCAGGATCGGGGCGGCAGGTGACCTGAAGACTGAGAGGCAGGTGGGCGTCGGCGGCGGGCGGCGGCGGCGGGCATGAGTCTCTGCCTCAGCCTCTTGCCACGTGATAGGAGAGAGCCCTGGGGCCCGGGGTCGGGGTGGCCCAGGGACGCGCAGAGCCCAGGAACCCTGGGGATCAGGAAGGGCTGAGGTGGCCACACTGTGACTCAGGCCACGCCCAAGGCTCCTGACCTCTGTGAGGCCTGTGGGACTCAGCAAGCCTCAGATCTCAGCCAATCAGGACCTGAGGGGTCTGAGGCATGCGTCTGCGAGGTCTCCGTCAAGGGCCCCGTGGACAGCCAGGCAGAAGGGGCATCCAAGGCCCAGAATGCCCTGTATGGTGCTGAGGGTTAGACCGCAGGGACACCGGAAGCTTCCACGAGCTCAGGCTGTCTCCTGACCTCTGGTGCCCTCTCTCCTGGTGAAGCGTCCTGACCCCGGCCTCATGTGTTTCTCCACCTCTGCATGGGATGCTCTGGTGTGCAGTGTAGCTGCCATTCCGTCTCTCCACCTGGCTTCCATTTTCCCTCTCCACAAGCCTCCCCTCCCCGCCTCCCCTACTGGTGTTGGAACCAGGATGCAAGGAGGCTAAGGAAGGGCCTGTGGGGCCGTAGGGCCCAGGGTTTAGGCAGACATTACCGCCTGTGGATTGGGGGTCCCGGACCCTGCCTGCTCCCCGCATGCCCTTCCCCAGGGCAGGGGCATCCTGGGGTGGGTGGCCCGGGGCTGGGAGCCCAGGCAGAGCCCAGCTCTGAGCCTCGGCACGCGGTGTGTACAGGTGGTCTTGCCCTTGGTGATGACGCTCTTCGAGCTGGCTCGGAACCCCGCTGTGCAGCGGGCCCTCCGGCAGGAGAGCCTGGCCGCCGCAGCCAGCATCACCGAAGATCCCTACAAGGCCATCTCGGCGCTGCCCCTGCTGCGAGCCGCCATCAAGGAGACTCTGAGGTATGCCCTGCGGCCTGCCCAGGCAGGGTGACCTCTGTGTTCTCTGGAGGAGAAGCAGAGCGGGGGCTGAGAGACTCCCGCCCCCCGCCTCCCGCCCCCTGCCGGCCCCCTCCTTGAGGGGTGGGCGCCAGACCCCCCCCCCGGCCCATTCTGCATCCAGCACCCCCCTGGCCAACTGGGGTCCTTGGCAGGGGAGCAGGGGAGCCCTCACTGACTGCCAGAACCCGCTGGCCTGGAGGAGTGGGGTGTCTTACCTGGGGTGGAAAGGTGCAGACCCCTTCCGACTGCTGTTGCGTTGGCAGGCTTTACCCCATTGGTGTCACCTTGGAGAGGGTCCTGAACTCCGATGTGGTTCTTCAGAACTACCACGTCCCAGCCGGGGTGAGTGTGCCCCACCTCGGCCCCACCACCGCCGGGGACTCATTCCAAGGACTCTGACGCCCCTGCTTGGCCTCCGTGCAGACTGTGGTCCAGTTTTTTCTGTACTCCATGGGTCGGAGTCAGGCTGTCTTCGTGAGGCCTGAGCGCTATAACCCCCAGCGCTGGCTGGACAGCAGGCTGCGCTTCAGCCACCTGGCCTTCGGCTTTGGGGTGCGCCAGTGCCTGGGGCGTCGCCTGGCCGAGTTGGAGATGGTGCTGCTGCTTCATCATGTGAGCCGGTCGGGGTGGTGCCTGGGGTGGGGAGGGGCTCCCCAAACAGGGTGTGGGGTCATAGCTGCTCTGAGCCAGCACCCTGCTGGCTAGAAGAGGGGATCCCACAGAATTTCTGCCTCTGCTCTAGGTGCTGAAGTCCTTCCAGGTGGAGACTCTTCAGCAAGAGGATGTAACCATGACCTACTGCTTCCTCCTGAAGCCTGTCTCCCCACTGCTCCTTACCTTCCGGCCTGTAGCTAGCCCTTCTTCTCTCTGAGGGCCCAGAGCACCTGCTGCTCGTTGCCCTGTCCCTGTCTCCTCCCCCCACCCCAGCTTTGCAAGTCCCCTGCGGAAAGGAGACTGCAGGGCCCTCCAGGTTTGGGGGGGGGGGAGGGTGGCAGGCTGTACAGCAGAGCTGGGCGGGATCCAGGAAGCTTGGCTTTGTCCTCAGTCACTCGGAACACTTCTCCAGCCAGAACTCTCTGCCGGGACACCGTCCCCACCCCTCCCAGAGGGCCTCTCACGCTGCCGACCGTCCTGGGCCCTCAAATCCTCCTATGCCTCCTGCCCAGCGTCACGCACTCCTGCCAATATCTCTCTGATTTCTCCTCATGAGTGTTGTGGTTTGTTTGAGGCTTTGGAAAGGGAGCAGAGCATTTGAGAGCCTGGTTAAGACTCCTCGGCTTGGGCTGCCTTCCCGAGCCCAAGCAGGTGGATCGCAGAAGGGGCCATGCACACATTGCAGCTGCAGGGCCTGGTCCCGTGCCAGACACCTTCTCCCCTGCCTGACCCACAGCAGATCCCTCTGTGTGTGCCTCAGAGGCCATTCCACCGCCCCCATGCCTGAGGTCGAGGTGTCCAGAGCTTGGCTCACATGTTCTTTTTTTGATATTTTGTTTTTTGAGAGAGCTTCTGCACTCATGTCCTGTGGTCAACACACACGCTCCAACGTAAGGCAGAGTCTGAGACGGGCAGAAGTAAGGGCAGCAGCGTGCAACGCAGACCGGCTGCCACCCTCCCGTGGCCCGCTCTCACGCCACGCATGCCTGCCGCCTCCCCTCCTCCCGTGATCCATCACGCCATGCCTGCCGCCTCCCCTCCTCCCGTGGTCACTGTCACGCCATGCCTGCCGCCTCCCCTCCTCCCGTGGTCACTGTCACGCCATGCCTGCCGCCTCCCCTCCTCCCGTGGTCACTGTCACGCCATGCCTGCCGCCTCCCCTTCTCCCGTGATCCATCACGCCATGCCTGCTGCCTCCCCTCCTCCCGTGGTCACTGTCATGCATGCCTGCCGCCTCCCCTCCTCCCGTGATCCATCACGCCATGCCTGCTGCCTCCCCTCCTCCCGTGGTCACTGTCACGCATGCCTGCTGCCTCCCCTCCTCCCGTGGTCACTGTCACGCATGCCTGCCGCCTCCCCTCCTCCCGTGATCCATCACGCCATGCCTGCTGCCTCCCCTCCTCCCGTGATCCATCACGCCATGCCTGCCGCCTCCCCTCCTCCCGTGATCCATCACGCCATGCCTGCTGCCTCCCCTCCTCCCGTGATCCATCACGCCATGCCTGCTGCCTCCCCTCCTCCCGTGGTCACTGTCACGCATGCCTGCCGCCTCCCCTCCTCCCGTGATCCATCACGCCATGCCTGCCGCCTCCCCTCCTCCCGTGATCCATCACGCCATGCCTGCTGCCTCCCCTCCTCCCGTGGTCACTGTCACGCATGCCTGCCGCCTCCCCTCCTCCCGTGATCCATCACGCCATGCCTGCTGCCTCCCCTCCTCCCGTGATCCATCACGCCATGCCTGCTGCCTCCCCTCCTCCCGTGGTCACTGTCACGCATGCCTGCTGCCTCCCCTCCTCCCGTGGTCACTGTCACGCATGCCTGCCGCCTCCCCTCCTCCCGTGATCCATCACGCCATGCCTGCTGCCTCCCCTCCTCCCGTGGTCACTGTCACGCATGCCTGCTGCCTCCCCTCCTCCCGTGATCCATCACGCCATGCCTGCTGCCTCCCCTCCTCCCGTGATCCATCACGCCATGCCTGCCGCCTCCCCTCCTCCCGTGATCCATCACGCCATGCCTGCTGCCTCCCCTCCTCCCGTGATCCATCACGCCATGCATGCCGCCTCCCCTCCTCCCGTGATCCATCACGCCATGCATGCCGCCTCCCCTCCTCCCGTGGTCACTGTCACGCATGCCTGCTGCCTCCCCTCCTCCCGTGGTCACTGTCACGCATGCCTGCCACCTCCCCTCCTCCCGTGATCCATCACGCCATGCATGCCGCCTCCCCTCCTCCCGTGATCCATCACGCCATGCCTGCCGCCTCCCCTCCTCCCGTGATCCATCACGCCATGCCTGCCGCCTCCCCTCCTCCCGTGATCCATCACGCCATGCCTGCTGCCTCCCCTCCTCCCGTGATCCATCACGCCATGCATGCCGCCTCCCCTCCTCCCGTGATCCATCACGCCATGCATGCCGCCTCCCCTCCTCCCGTGGTCACTGTCACGCATGCCTGCTGCCTCCCCTCCTCCCGTGGTCACTGTCACGCATGCCTGCCACCTCCCCTCCTCCCGTGATCCATCACGCCATGCATGCCGCCTCCCCTCCTCCCGTGATCCATCACGCCATGCATGCCGCCTCCCCTCCTCCCGTGATCCATCACGCCATGCCTGCTGCCTCCCCTCTTCCCGTGATCCATCACGCCATGCCTGCCGCCTCCCCTCCTCCCGTGGTCACTGTCACACATGCCTGCCGCCTCCCCTCCTCCCGTGATCCATCACGCCATGCCTGCCGCCTCCCCTCCTCCCGTGATCCATCACGCCATGCCTGCCGCCTCCCCTCTTCCCGTGATCACTGTCACACATGCCTGCCGCCTCCCCTCCTCCCGTGATCCATCACGCCATGCCTGCCGCCTCCCCTCTTCCCGTGATCCATCACGCCATGCCTGCCGCCTCCCCTCCTCCCGTGGTCTGCTCTCAAGGGCTACAGTTGCAAACCTGCAGCTCTGTCAAACCCGCTTCTTGCGGGGTGGGGAAGGGGGAAGTGGGAGCGGGGAGCTGAGAAGGGATGGGAAGGGGAAACAAAGGAGGAGGCAACAATGCTTGATAAGAAACGTACTCATCACCTTGCCCATGTAACTGTAACCCCTCTGTACGGTATTTTCACACACACACACACACACACACACACACAAAACAAAAAATCCCGCTCCTCATCATGGTCTCAATTCTTCTCCTGCCGCCGGCATCACTAGGCATCACCTTCTCTGGTGCCGTGCTGGGGATCCCAGGCACTTGCACACCGGCAGAAAGCCGGTACAAATGCTACAGCTGGCACACTCTCCAGGGAAGGGAGGGGCTGGGAGTCCGCTTGGGAAGAGCGCTTGCCTGCCAGTGTGAGGCCCTGAGTTTAGTCCGAAGCTCTGAAAAAAAAAAAAAAAAGACTTTCTTAGCTGGACAAAGCGGCAGATTTCATTTCTCCAAGAAAGGCTAATAGGAGTCTGTCAAGCCCAAATGGAACCAGCACCTACACCGCTGCCCAGTCCCGTGCCGGTGGGCCCAGGCAGCCCCACTCTCCCTGGGCATCCTTGTCCCCGACTATAGGGGACTTCAGGAGGACATCCGCATGTGTCCCTGCTCTCCTCTCTGCACCTGGGGGTGAGGGTCAAGGCCTTGGTGGGGCAGAGCGAGGAGCAGGGAATGCTGGCCTGGCCATGCCCAGTCTGATTTCAGGGCCCAGGCCTGTCTGTGGGGTTCTCTGGAGGTCCCTGGGTCAGCGTGGCTGGAAGCATCCCTCACACAGCGAGAAGTCAGCAGTTCTTCTTGCTGACTCCTTTGCTCACCAAGAAGTCCTCTGTGTGCTGACAGTTGGTCTGGGGGCCTGACAGCCCCTTTGTTGGCATATGCTGTTCCTGGGTATCTGAATGTGAATGAGCCCCTGAGCACAAAAAAACACCCAAAGGTGGGCCTGGTGGCTCCCACCTGTAATCCCAGTTACTAGGGAGGTGAAGATCCCGAGTCTCTCAGTTCTAGGCGGGGAGGAGTTTGGGAGACCCTGCCTTCACAAGTAAGACAGGACTGGATATTCTCAGGAGAAGATCACAAAGGCTCAATAGCTATATGCATATGATCATATAAAATGACGCTCATCAAGATGAACTCCAAGAAATGGAAAGGAGGTTTTTTATTTTACTTTTGGTAGTTTTTTGTTTCCCTTTGTCACTGTTTTTATTTCTTTTGTCTTGTTTACCTGATTTGGGGAGGGGAAGGGGAAGCACAGAAGAGGTGGGACAAAGAATGAATTAAAGGTAGGCACCAACGGCTCATGCCTGTGGCCCTAGCTACTCAGGAGGCTGAGATCTGAGGATTATGGCTCAAAGCCAGCCCGGGCAGGAACGTTTGTGAGACTCATCTCCAATGAACCACCAGAAAACTGGAAATGGCGCCATGGCCCAAGTGGTAGAGTGCTTGCCTTGAGCTGAAGAGCGGAGGGACAGCGCCCAGGCCCAGAGTTCACACCCCACAACCGACAAAAAAAAAAAAAGAGTGAATTAATTCAGCAGTGATACTCACTAGACACTATGTTGAAAATGAACTATATAACTTGTGGAGGAGGGCTGTTGGGAGGGAAGAAATGGGGGGAAATGATGGAAGAGGTGACACTATTAAAAAACAAATGTACTCAATACCTGACATGTCACTGTAACCTCGCTGGACATCTTTACAATAAAAATTTAAAAAATTAAAAGAAAAGCCAGGTGCCGGTGGCTCATGCCTGTCATCCCAGCTACTCAGGAGGCTGAGATCTGAGGATTGCGGTTCAAAGCCAGCCGGGGAAGTAAAGTCCTTGAGACTCATCTCCAATAAACCACTCACTGGGAGTGGCTGCGGGTCAGTGTAGGTAGAGCACTTGCCTTGAGCACAGACCCGGAAGAGGCGTGGCCTGGAGTTCTAAGGGATTGGCCGGAAGAGGAGGGACCATGAGTCAATAGAGGCGCCTGGAAGAGGAGGGGCCAGGAGTCCTGAGGAGCGGGCTGGAGAGGAGGGGCCAGGGGTCCTGAAGGAGGGGCTGGAAGAGGCGGGGCCAGGAGTCCAGAAGGAGGGGCTGGAGAGGCGGGGCCAGGGGTCCTGAAGGAGGGGCTGGAGAGGCGGGGCCAGGAGTCCAGAAGGAGGGGCTGGAGAGGAGGGGCCAGGGGTCCTGAAGGAGGGGCTGGAGAGGCGGGGCCAGGAGTCCAGAAGGAGGGGCTGGAAGAGGCGGGGCCAGGGGTCCTGAAGGAGGTGCTGGAAGAGGCGGGGCCAGGGGTCCAGAAGGAGGGGCTGGAGAGGCGGGGCCAGGGGTCCTGAAGGAGGGGCTGGAGAGGCAGAGCCAGGGGTCCGAGGAGCGGGCTGGAGAGGCGGGGCCAGGGGTCCTGAAGGAGGGGCTGGAGAGGCGGGGCCAGGGGTCCTGAAGGAGGGGCTGGAGAGGCGGGGCCAGGGGTCCTGAAGGAGGGGCTGGAGAGGCGGGGCCAGGAGTCCAGAAGGAGGGGCTGGAGAGGCGGGGCCAGGGGTCCTGAGGGAGGGAGGGATGGGTAGGGGCGGGGCCAGGGGTCCTGTGGAAGGAGGGACGGGTAGAGGCGGAGCCAGGAGGCTGGGGGAGGGAGGGGCAGGGAGGAGCAGGGAGAGGTGGGAGAGGCGGGGCCAGGGGTCCTGTGGGAGGGAAGGAGAGGCGGGGCCAGGGGTCCTGTGGGCGGGAAGGAGAGGCGGGGCCAGGGGTCCTGTGGGAGGGAAGGAGAGGCGGGGCTAGGGGTCCTGTGGGAGGGAGGGGCAGGGAGAAGCAGGGAGAGGCGGGTAGAGGCGGGGCCAGGGGTCCCGTGGGAGGATGGGGCAGGGGGGGGGCGGGGAGAGGCGGGGCCAAGGGTCCTGTGGGAGGGAGGGGCAGGGAGGGGCGGGGAGAGGCGGGGCCAAGGGTCCTGTGGGAGGATGAGGCAGGGAGGGGCGGGGAGAGGCGGGGCCAGGGGGTCATGTGGGAGGGAGGGGCAGGGAGGGGCGGGGAGAGGCGGGGCCAGGGGGTCCTGTGGGAGGGAGGGGCCGTTAGAGGTGGGGCAGGGAGGGGCGGGGAGAGGCGGGGCCAGGAGTCCTGTGAGGGAGGGGCAGGGGGGGCGGGTAGAGGCGGGGCCAGGGGTCCTGTGGGAGGATGATGCAGGGAGGGGCGGGGAGAAGCGGGGCCAGGGGTCCTGTGGGAGGGAGGGGCCGTTAGAGGTGGGGCAGGGAGGGGTGGGGAGAGGCGAGACCAGGGGGTCCTGTGGGAGGGAGGGGCAGGGAGGGGCGGGGAGAGGCGGGGCCAGGGGTCCTGTGGCAGGGAGGGGCAGGGAGAGGGGGGCCAGGCGTCCTGAGGGAGGGAGGGGCGGGGCTAGGAGTCCTGAGGGAAGGAGGGGCGGGGAGAAGCGGGGTGGTTGAAGGCAAAGGCATTCCAAGGGAGGGCCTCCAACAAGACCAAAGTATCCTGCTGCCCTGTCCACCCGCTCAGACTGGACCTTCTAGAACATTCCATGGAGGGCACTACCAGGTTGAGTCCTGAAGAGCCAGCCTAGCCAGCACGGTGGGTGAAGGTTCCATGAAGGGCGTGAAGGTTCCAGAACGGAGGACTCCAGGCTCCCACCCCTGGAAGGTTCCAGGAGGGCCCTGCTGGCCGGACGAGGCACTGCTGGGGGAACGCGGCCTTGGGACGCGCGCTGGGCAGAGGTCCAGGGCGACTCCGCCATCCACACCCGGAACCACTCAGGGTCCTGCAGGGGCAGTGCAGGCCCCACACCAGACAGCCCGCCACTGCTGCCCTGGGCACTCGGGTCACAGAGTGGACCTGGACACCCCACTGACCCCAGCTGGCCACGGGACCCCCGAAGGTTATCAGCCCGACACGACAAGAGAGATCGTCTGAGGATGGAGAAGAGAGAAGGAAAGGCAGAGCGCTTCCCTGCTTCGGACCTGACAGACACCCTGCCCTGGAGGCCCTCCCTGGATGGGACCCCGCCGTGAAGCTGTCAGACCCCCCTGGGGCCTCGGTCACCTCTGGCGCCTTGAAAACGTATCTTGCCACCACCTGCAAATAGCTCGTGGAGCCTGGCCTCTGCCCTCCAGGTTGCAGTCTGGCCAGCGCCTGCCCCCCAGCCCTTCCGCCGGGCTGAGCCCCGGCCCGCCCGAAGGCTGTCAGGCCTCCACCCTGGACGCCACCTGAGGATGGGAGCTCGGGAGCCGGCCATTCTCGCCCCCTCACCCTGAGTGTGCCCCCACTCGGGGCCTGCAGGTGCTGTCGGGCCGGCTGGGGCCGGTTGGCCTGGGGGTGGGTGACCCGCCGGGCTCCTCTCCGCCAGCCTGCGGGCGAAGCGCAGCCAGGGACGGGGTCCTGCGAAGGGGGGCTGGCCCAGGACTCTCGTTTTAGGCAGAGGGAGGAGTCGCGTCGAACTCAGAGCTGGCGGCGGGGGGACCGTCCTGAGCCGCCAGGGAGGTGGACATCAGCTGGACTCGCTCGAGGGCAGCCCCTGGCCCAGGACCGGGGGAAGGCAGGCGGCGGCCCTGGAGCCGGCCTCGGGGACCCCGGGCGGATGCTCCCTGGCTCGCCTGGACACCCCGGCGCAGGGCCGGACGAGGACGCGGGCGGGGCCTCGAGGCCAGCAGAGCGGACGTCCAGCCCTCTAGCCCGCAGGAAGCTGGAGGGGCGGCGTGGCTCAGGCGGCTGAGCGCAGGGAGCGGGCGGCCGCCAGCCGCACGGCACCCACCGCGGACGGGCGCGGGGCCGCGGGAACGCGGGGGCCGGGCGCGGCCGGAGGCGCGGACGCCGCGACCCTGCGCACCGGCCGGCCTGAGCCTGAGCGGGGACCGAGGACGACGACGCGGGGGGGGGGGGGTTCCTTCTGGAGAGTTCCCGGACGGCCGTTCCCCTCCCCGGGGCCCGCGTGGGGGGCTGGGCTGGCTGGCGAACCTTCCAGAAGCAGTGCCGGCCTGGGAGGGGGCGGCGCCAGGGGAGCGCAGGTGCGGTGCGCAGACCACGAGGACTCTCGATCCGGACACCAACCCGGACAGACAGCCCCCGACCCTGGACAGACAGCCCAGGACGGACCGACCGACCCTCACCGACCGAGACGAGCCGACCGCAAGTGGGCAGGGGCTGGGAGACACGGAGGGGCGGTGGGGGTCTGTGGGGGTCGGGGGACGGGGTACGGGGGGGGAGCCCGCGGGACGGGGGGGGTTGGGACCCGCGGGCGGCTGGGGGAGGGAACAGGCCGGCGGGGGTCGGGGGGTGGGGGCCGGGGGGGCGGGGGCCGGGGGGACCCGCAGGGTGGGAGGCGGGGGCAGTGGGAGCCCGCGGGGCGGGGGGCGGGGGCAGTGGGAGCCCGCGGGGTGGGGGACTCGGGGGCAGTGGGAGCCCGCGGGGTGGGGGACTCGGGGGCAGTGGGAGCCCGCGGGGTGGGGGGCGGGGGCAGTGGGAGCCCGCGGGGTGGGGGGCGGGGGCAGTGGGAGCCCGCGGGGTGGGGGGCGGGGGCAGTGGGAGCCCGCGGGGTGGGGGACTCGGGGGCAGTGGGAGCCCGCGGGGTGGGGGCGGGGGGACTCGGGGGCAGTGGGAGCCCTCGGGGTGGGGTGGGGGACTCGGGGGCAGTGGGAGCCCGCGGGGTGGGGCGGGGGGCAGTGGGAGCCCGCGGGGTGGGGTGGGGTGGGGGCAGTGGGAGCCCGCGGGGCGGGGGGCGGGGGCAGTGGGAGCCCGCAGGGTGGGGGGCGGGGGCAGTGGGAGCCCGCGGGGTGGGGGGGGGCGGGGGCAGTGGGAGCCCGCGGGGTGGGGGGTGGGGGCAGTGGGAGCCCGCGGGGTGGGGGACTCGGGGGCAGTGGGAGCCCGCGGGGTGGGGGACTCGGGGGCAGTGGGAGCCCGCGGGGTGGGGGACTCGGGGGCAGTGGGAGCCCGCGGGGTGGGGTGGGGGACTCGGGGGCAGTGGGAGCCCGCGGGGTGGGGGACTCGGGGGCAGTGGGAGCCCGCGGGGTGGGGCGGGGGGCAGTGGGAGCCCGCGGGGCGGGGGGCGGGGGCAGTGGGAGCCCGCGGGGCGGGGAGCGGGGGCAGTGGGAGCCCGCGGGGTGGGGGGCGGGGGCAGTGGGAGCCCGCGGGGTGGGGGACTCGGGGGCAGTGGGAGCCCGCGGGGTGGGGGACTCGGGGGCAGTGGGAGCCCGCGGGGCGGGGGGACTCGGGGGCAGTGGGAGCCCGCGGGGCGGGGGGCGGGGGCAGTGGGAGCCCGCGGGGTGGGGGACTCGGGGGCAGTGGGAGCCCGCGGGGTGGGGTGGGGGACTCGGGGGCAGTGGGAGCCCGCGGGGTGGGGGACTCGGGGGCAGTGGGAGCCCGCGGGGTGGGGGACTCGGGGGCAGTGGGAGCCCGCGGGGTGGGGGACTCGGGGGCAGTGGGAGCCCGCGGGGCGGGGAGCGGGGGCAGTGGGAGCCCGCGGGGCGGGGGGGCGGGGGCAGTGGGAGCCCGCGGGGGTGGGGGGACTCGGGGGCAGTGGGAGCCCGCGGGGTGGGGGACTCAGGGGCAGTGGGAGCCCGCGGGGTGGGGGACTCGGGGGCAGTGGGAGCCCGCGGGGTGGGGGGCGGGGGCAGTGGGAGCCCGCAGGGTGGGGGGCGGGGGCAGTGGGAGCCCGCGGGGTGGGGGACTCGGGGGCAGTGGGAGCCCGCGGGGTGGGGTGGGGGACTCGGGGGCAGTGGGAGCCCGCGGGGTGGGGCGGGGGCAGTGGGAGCCCGCGGGGCGGGGGGCGGGGGCAGTGGGAGCCCGCGGGGTGGGGGGCGGGGGGCGGGGGCAGTGGGAGCCCGCGGGGTGGGGGACTCGGGGGCAGTGGGAGCCCGCGGGGCGGGGAGCGGGGGCAGTGGGAGCCCGCAGGGTGGGGGGCGGGGGCAGTGGGAGCCCGCGGGGTGGGGGACTCGGGGGCAGTGGGAGCCTGCTGGGTGGGGTGGGGGACTCGGGGGGCAGTGGGAGCCCGCGGGGTGGGGGACTCGGGGGCAGTGGGAGCCCGCGGGGTGGGGCGGGGGCAGTGGGAGCCCGCGGGGTGGGGGGCAGGGGCAGTGGGAGCCCGCGGGGCGGGGAGCGGGGGCAGTGGGAGCCCGCAGGGTGGGGGGCGGGGGCAGTGGGAGCCCGCGGGGCGGGGAGCGGGGGCAGTGGGAGCCCGCAGGGTGGGGGGCGGGGGCAGTGGGAGCCCGCGGGGTGGGGGACTCGGGGGCAGTGGGAGCCCGCGGGGTGGGGTGGGGGACTCGGGGGCAGTGGGAGCCCGCGGGGTGGGGGACTCGGGGGCAGTGGGAGCCCGCGGGGCGGGGGGGCGGGGGCAGTGGGAGCCCGCGGGGTGGGGGCGGGGGGCGGGGGCAGTGGGAGCCCGCGGGGCGGGGGGACTCGGGGGCAGTGGGAGCCCGCGGGGCGGGGGGACTCGGGGGCAGTGGGAGCCCGCGGGGCGGGGGGACTCGGGGGCAGTGGGAGCCCGCGGGGTGGGGGGTGGGGGGCGGGGGCAGTGGGAGCCCGCGGGGTGGGGTGGGGGACTCGGGGGCAGTGGGAGCCCGCAGGGCGGGGGGACTCGGGGGCAGTGGGAGCCCGCGGGGTGGGGGGACTCGGGGGCAGTGGGAGCCCGCGGGGCGGGGGGACTCGGGGGCAGTGGGAGCCCGCGGGGCGGGGGGACTCGGGGGCAGTGGGAGCCCGCGGGGTGGGGCGACTCGGGGGCAGTGGGAGCCCGCGGGATGGGGGCGGGGGGACTCGGGGGCAGTGGGAGCCCGCGGGGCGGGGGGACTCGGGGGCAGTGGGAGCCCGCGGGGTGGGGGGCGGGTGCAGTGGGAGCCCGCGGGGTGGGGGGCGGGGCAGTGGGAGCCCGCGGGGCGGGGGGCGGGTGCAGTGGGAGCCCGCGGGGTGGGGGGACTCGGGGGCAGTGGGAGCCCGCGGGGCGGGGGGCGGGGGCAGTGGGAGCCCGCGGGGCGGGGGGACTCGGGAGCAGTGGGAGCCCGCGGGGCGGGGAGACTCGGGGGCAGTGGGAGCCCGCGGGATGGGGGCGGGGGGACTCGGGGGCAGTGGGAGCCCGCGGGGTGGGGGGACTCGGGGGCAGTGGGAGCCCGCGGGGCGGGGGGACTCGGGGGCAGTGGGAGCCCGCGGGGTGGGGGACTCGGGGGCAGTGGGAGCCCGCGGGGCGGGGGGCGGGGGCAGTGGGAGCCCGCGGGGTGGGGGGCGGGGGCAGTGGGAGCCCGCGGGGCGGGGGGCGGGGGCAGTGGGAGCCCGCGGGGTGGGGTGGGGGCAGTGGGAGCCCGCGGGGTGGGGGGCGGGGGCAGTGGGAGCCCGCGGGGTGGGGTGGGGGGCGGGGGCAGTGGGAGCCCGCGGGGTGGGGGGCGGGGGGCAGTGGGAGCCCGCGGGGTGGGGGGGCGGGGGCAGTGGGAGCCCGCGGGGTGGGGGGACGCTGGTGGGGGGAAGGGGGTCCTGCGGGCGGCGCTGACCCCCGCCCCTCCTCAGACAGCCCAGCATGGAGCCGGTGACCCTGCTGGCCTTCGTCCTGGCGGTGAGCCTGCCCCTGGGTGAGTCGGCCGGGCCTGGGGCGGCCGTTGGAGGGGGGGCGGACCCCGGCAGGACGCGGGCCTGGGCCGCAGTGCGGTCCCCTGCAGTCCCAGCAGTTCCAGGCAGGCAGGGGGACCGGACGGGGACGGCACTGGTGGGAGGGGGGCAGTGGCTGGAGCGAGACCCTGCAGCAGGGGTCTGCCTCAGTCTACCTCTTCTTCATTTCAGGCCAGTCTGTGCTGTGCCACGTTTGTGAGTTAGAGAACGACTTCGGGTGCCTGAACCCACGCAACTGTACGGTTGGGGAGAGCAACTGCATTATTGTCGCCATGAGTAAGAGTCCTGGGGGGGGGGTCACACAGCTGCATCCCCACCACCCTGGGCAG